GAATGGTAAGTGACCGTGTCTCCTCTGAGGCTGATGCGTATTTCAATCTCCTCCCTATTTTCACTCAGTCTACAGAGGACTGTTTTTGCTGTGTTTTCTCTTGTGGTGTCATCGTATGGTTTTTACTATGTTTTCCACAGTTCAGTTGCTCTGTATCCTGAGATGTGGATGCTCTCGTGCTGCTGGACGCTTACGGATTCTTACCTACAGATTCGGTACTATATCAGTTTTAGCACCAAGTCTCTGAAACCTACTTGCAGAGCTTAATGTGTTGTGTGGTTCAGTGCCATGCAGGAGCCAGAATTGTTAGAAATACTGAAGTCATGAGTCGGAGTCCTCCCAACGTACCCTGCCCCTCCGTTAGATTAATCTGACTGGATGCCAAAAAAGAAAAATTTTAAAATTATATATTTTTTTTTTATATTTGAACTGTTCCACATCGTCGTCTGTACATTTTATCTCCCAAAATTGAGGTCAAAGTGTTGTTCTCAGGAAGAAAATGCCGATGGCAATGATTTCTTTTTCGGAGATTAGTTATTATATTGTTGGCTATAAGTACTCAAATTACAATAAACTGAATATAAAAATCCTACAATCAGGCACTTTAATGCCACAGTAAATGAATTTCTATATTCCAATCCTCCAGGTTGCTAAATCTCCCAATCCCAGAAAAAAGTACAGATGATGTTACCATGTCGTTCAGTGCACCTGCAGCCCTGGTTAAATGTTTAGTACATAAATCACATGTTTTATTGAAAATTAGATACTGTGCTCATTATAATGTATCAGCAGGGTTGTTTTTTTTTAATACAACCTGAAATTTTCGAGGTAATAACTTTAAATTTATGTTCATTAAATAATCCTCCTTCAAGTGATGAAAAATGACTCTTGCAGTATATGTATTTGTGGCCTCAGTTATCTTTCATTTCTCTCCTTTTTTCCTGCAGAAAGAAGTATCCAAGTGATGAGGCAGGGATGGATGAGATGATCCAGTTTGAAAAAAAGTCAGAAGAAAAAGAAAAAGAGTTTACACTTATGAGAAAGGCAGTGAGAGGTATTATATTATTTCAGTTGTCGCGTCATTTTTAAAAGGACTAGTCGACTTCTAGTGGCTTTGTCTGTGTGCTCAGCTGTTGGCCAAGATATTTCATATCTTTCAGGCTGTTGACTGCGAAACCCGACTCTGTCTAAACAGTCTGTGTGCATCCTGTTTAGAGCGAGGTCTAGTTCAAGTCGAAGGAGGTACGTCTTTATTCTCCTCTTCTCCTCTCAGTGAGGAATAATCTCACTTTGCTTTCTCTCATCTTGCTGGCAGCTGAATGTGTTTCTCTTCAGCAGGATTTATGTTCTCCAGAGACCTGAGAGTTAATTTTGTAAGTCCCTTTTAACCTCCCAAGCCCTCCACCACAACTCACCACCTCCTCTCTCATTCGTTACACCAGAGGTTTAGCATTCAGCCCGCTGAACACATGAGCTGTGCGTTTCATTTTATGTTTTGCAGAAAAAACATACTGCGCCTCAGTTTGGAGCAGAGTCTGGAGATGCAGTCGAGGATTCAAGCCTCTGTGTCCTAGTTGTTCTGTAAGACGTTGGCCTGTGTATTAACAAGTCACATATCGCTGTCTGTATCATATCTATGTTCATAGCTGTCTATCAATACATAGTGTAGCCTTCATCATACAGTGTATGGTCTCTTCTCACATTGAACTAAAGTGTTCAAACTCTCTTTTTTCCAGAGCAGAAGACGGCTTTGATAGAAATATTTCTGAACCAGAGAGATTCACTCAGCAACCTCCAGTCCTTCCAGGACAGAAATGTAAGTTTGTATCTAAATTCAATTAAAGACGTTTGAGGTGTTTTTTTGTTTTTTTGTTTCACTATGTCCAGTTAAATATGTGTTTCTACTTTTTCCACACAAGGTGGTGACAGTACCAGGCGATCAATCACGTCCATCTGAATAAACCTGAATCGTGGCTCCGTTTGTGTCCAACTTCCTGCGAACTAAAGCACTGTCAGTATCAACCAAGCAGCACAAGTTTATAAGCTACAGACATTTCCTAACACACTTTAGATCACAGTTAGGTCTGTAGGTTTGTTTATAAGATCAGCCTGGCTGACAACGGCATAAAAGCTCCCATGAAGTGCCATCATTGCTTGTTTTTAGTTATTTTACAACTTTATTGACAACTGAATACAAGAGGAATGACAGACACACTTCTGCACCTACATAGCAGCTTTATGCTGTGCTAAGCTAACCAGTTGCTGGCTGTAGTTTTATGTTTACTGTACAATCATCTTTTCTACCTCTTGGCCAGAAAGCAAATAAAGCATCATTCCCAAAATGTCGACTTTGAACTCTCTACTTTGATCGATGCAGAGCATTTGTTTTTTAATTTAAACTTTATTTTTTAATATGACTCAACTCTCCAAGGTATGAAAAACTTTGTGGAGAAAAGTGACACGAACAAACCACAGCTCCATCTCTTCAGCTTCTCTGTCTAGGAAAACATCCTGCGATCAACAGGTAACATTCAGTCTGGCCGTAGAGCTTTTCACATCACCGGCTGTAAATGAAGTACTGTGCCGGTGGACGTTACATCAGACCCCACTGTGATGCATCCTCATCAGTCTCTCAGAGGCCTTTGACGCACTTGATCCCTCCTTACTTCTGTCCAGTTTATCTCAGATTCTGCTGTTGGCTGATGGTTTCATAGCAAGAACTCAGAAGTAACTCGTGTTAAAATCCAGGTTCTCAGTCTCCCCACATTTAGATTTTAATTTTACTGTATTTATACTGCAGTGTTCACACAGTCAGCTTTGCGTTCAAAGGCCTCTTGAGAAAATTGATGCAGGCATGCATCCAGTGGGGGTCTGAGTAACGTCCACCGGGCACATACTCATTTACAGCCGCTCGGTGATGTGAAAAGCTTTCTACGGCCAGCTGAATGTTACCTGTTTGATCGCAGAGTCGCTGTTTCCTAGACAGAAAGTGAAGAGATGGAGCTGTGGTTTTCGTGTCACTTTGTCTCCACAAAGTTTTTCATGTTACCTTGGAGAGTTGAGTTCATATTCAAAAATTAAGTTTAAACTTTAAAAAACAAATGCTCTGCATCGATCAAAGTAGAGATTTCAAAACAGCAAAAATGTCGACCATTTGGGAATGATGCTTTATTTGCTTCTGGCCAAGAGGTAGAAAAAGAGATATGTTCAGTAAAACATAAAACTACAGCCAGGCCAACTGGTTAGCTTAGCACAGCATAAGCTGCTCTATGTAGGTGCAGGAAGTGTGGTCTTGTCATCCTCTGTATTCAGTTGTCAATAAAGTTGTAAAATTAAACTAAAAACAAGCAATGATGGCCACTTCATGGAAAAGCTTTTATGCCGCTTGTCAGCCCAGGCTGATCTTATAAACAAACCTACAGACCTACTTGTGATCTAAAGTGTGTTAGGGGAACATGTCTGTAGTTATAACTTGTGCTGCTGGTTGATACTGACAGTGCTTATTCGCAGGAAGTTGGACACAAACGGAGCCACGACCTTCAGGTTTATTCAGATGGACGTGATGATCGCCTGGTACTGTCACCACCTTGTGCTGAGAAAAAGTAGAAACACATATTAACTGGACATAGTGAAACAAAAAAACAAAAAAAACACCTCAAACGTCTTTATTGAATTTAGATACAAACTTACATTTCTGTCCTGGAAGGACTGGAGGATTGCTGAAGTGAATCTCTCTGGTTCAGAAAATATTCTATCAAAGCCGTCTTCTGCTCTGGAAAAAAGAGAGTTTGAACACTTTTAGTTCAATGTGAGAAGAGACCATACACTGTATGATGAAGGCTACACTATGTTATTGATAGACAGCTATAACATAGATATGATACAGACAGCGATATGTGACTTGTTAATACACAGGCCAACGTCTTACAGAACAACTAGGACAGAGGCTTGAATCCTCGACTGCATCTCCAGACTCTGCTCCAAACTGAGGCGCAGTATGTTTTTCTGCAAAACATAAAATGAAACGCACAGCACATGTGTTCAGCGGGCTGAATGCTAAACCTCTGGTGTAACGAATGAGAGAGGAGGTGGTGAGTGTGGTGGAGGGCTTGGGAGGTTAAAAGGGACTTACAAAATTAACTCTCAGGTCTCTGGAGAACATAAATCCTGCTGAAGAGAAACACATTCAGCTGCCAGCAGATGAGAGGAAGCAAAGTGAGATTATTCCTCACTGAGAGGAGAAGAGGAAGATAAAGACGTACCTCCTTCGACTTGAACTAGACCTCGCTCTAACAGGATGCACACAGACTGTTTAGACAGAGTCGGGTTCGCAGTCAACAGCCTGAAAGATATGAAATATCTTGGCCAACAGCTGAGCACACAGACAAAGCCACTAGAAGTCGACTAGTCCTTTTAAAATGACCGACAACTGAAATAATATAATACCTCTCAACTGCCTTCTCATAAGTGTAAACTCTTTTCTTTTCTTCTGACTTTTTTTCAAACTGGATCATCTCATCCATCCCCTGCCTCATCACTTTGGATACTTCTTTCTGCAGGAAAAAAGGAGAGAAATGAAAGATAACTGAGGCACAATACAATAATACTGCAAGAGTCATTTTCATCACTTGAAGGAGGATTATTTAATGAACATAATTTAAAGTTATTACCTCGAAAATTTCAGGTTGTATTAAAAAAAAAACAACCCTGCTGATACATTATAATGAGCACAGTATCTAATTTTCAATTAAAACATGTGATTTATGTACTAACATTTAACCAGGGCTGCAGGTGCCACTGAAGACACTGGTAACATCATCTGTACTTTTTTCTGGGGATTGGGAGATTTAGCAACCTGGAGGATTGGAATATAGAAATTGCATTTACTGTGCATTAAAGTGCCTGATTGTAGGATTTTTATATTCAGTTTATGTAATTTGAGTACTTATAGCCAACAATATAAATAACTCTAACCCGAAAAAGAAATCATTGCCATCGGCATTTCCTTCCTGAGAACAACACTTTGACCTCAATTTTGGGAGATAAAATGTACAGACGACGATGTGGAACAGTTCAAATATAAAAAAATAAAATATATAATTTTTGAAGATTTTCTTTTGGCATCCAGTCAGATTAATCTAACGGAGGGGGCAGGGTACGTTGGGAGGACTCCGACTCATGACTTCAGTATTTCTAAAATCCTGGCTCCTGCATGGCACTGAACCACACAAACACATTAAAGCTCTGCAAGTAGGTTTCAGAGACTTGGTGCTAAAAACTGATATAGTACCGAATCTGTAGGTAAGAATCCGTAAGCGTCCAGCAGCACGAGAGCATCCACCATCTCAGGATACAGAGCACTGAACTGTGGAAAACATAGTAAAAACCATACGATGACACCACAAGAGAAAACACAGCAAAACAGTCTCTGTAGACTGAGTGAAAATAGGGAGGAGATGAAATACGCATCAGCCTCAGAGGAGACACGGTCACTTACCATTCCAGCAATGTCAGCACCTGTAAATATGAGGAGGCTCTATGTGATTTATGCTTTAAATTATTTTGTAACACAGCAAAATATACAACACACATTAAGATTAATTCTGCTCTGATGGTGCACTCACCCATACTGTGGCCTATGATGGAGAATTTCTTCAGCCCCAGAGCTGCAGGAGTTAATTTCACACATCATCAACCAGGCAGGTTCACTGTCTCATAGGTTTTATCATAGGCACAAATAGGAACAACTTCATATTACAACCTACAATGATGTTTGGCTAAGAAATATTTTCCAAAACTTCCAACTCCTCACACACCGTCAGCAACTCTGTGTACATCCGCCACGTACGCAGGAGCGCAGTAGAAAGCTCCAGGAGGACGATGAGATGACCGACCGTGACCTGCCAGGTCCACCGCCACATACCTGCACTCTGAGAGGAAGGACGGGGGAGCACACGTGGAAAACACTCAGTGACACACCGCACTTCCTGATCCCAAACACAGCTCATAGACGCATCACAACGCTAACTCATATTTACACCACCTTTGGTCTAACTCTTGTTTATGGACTCACATCGTTTTCTGTTTTGTAATCACAGCCGTGGATATTTGTTCTTCAAAGTCTTCACCCTTTATTGGAAGTGTGTTTAGCTCGTTGCATAACTGTGCACCTACACACAGAGTGAATGCAGGAGGAAACGTTAGCAGTTAACTGAAATGAATTAGGGCAACAACTAATGATTATTCTCATTATTGCTTAATCGCTTAATTTGTAGATTATTTTTATGATGACTCTTGTAATTGTTTGTTCTATAAATATCAGGAAATAGTGAAAATGCACAGTTTCAGCGCCTTAGGTGATGTCTTTAAAAAACTTGTTTGATCAGTGGGATAAAACCCAAAGATGTTAAATTCACAATGATATACAACACAGTGTAGGACATGTGTGAGCAAATGTTTCACATTTTTCATTGAAAAAATTACAGAAAGATTAATTCAATTATAATTTGAATTAATAGATTGATAGAAATAATCAACTGCTGAAGCTTGCTTTTTTTCATCCATTTTGTTCTTTTAATCAACTATTAAGAATCTAATCATAGCCATCAAATTCATCAGTTGCCCACATTTCATAACTACCAAATTACATATGTAGCTCTTTGCAGGAAATGTCCTGGAAAGTTATTAGGAAATGGAAATTATGGATCCATAATAGGGCTGCATGGTGGTGCAGTGGCAGAAGGTTCCGGGTTCGAGTCCCGGCTCGGACGCGGGATCTTTCTGTGTGGAGTTTGCATGTTCTCCCCGTGCCTGTGTGGGTTCTCTCCGGGTACTCCGGCTTCCTCCCACAGTCCAAAGACATGCAAATGGGGACTAGGCTAATGGGATACTCTAAATTGCCCTGCGATGGACTGGGGACCTGTCCAGAGTGTACCCCGCCTCTCGCCCGAAAAGATGCTGGGATAGGCTCCAGCCCCCCCCGCGACCCTACTAAAGGATAAGCGGAAGAAAATGGATGGATGGATCCATAATAAGAAGCTTTTCCCAATTTAGTTTAATAGAAGTTTGATTACTCTCCTCTGGTCCGTCCTGGCTCACCTTTGGGTAGAAGGGGGATGAGGGTGTTGAATGTGCCACAGTTGTCAGCCCAGCCGTGCAGGCACAGCACAGGACGACCATGATCAGGACCCCAGACTTTACCTCTGATCTCTCCCCATGGGACAGGAACACAGAGCTCTGAGACTGGACACAAAACAAAACACAACACAGCCGTGAATCTGTCGCTCAAACACAAGGATTACATTAGACTACAATCATTCTATTACAGACAGGCAGAGGCTATAAACGCCATATAAATACAACAAATCATTTGCGTGATAAACACAAAATCACTACAAGAATCCTGACAGTGGGCGAAGTGTCAAAAGTTCTTGTACACCTTACATATTCAGAAGTAGTACCTGCTTGTTTAACTGTATCTTAATTCTATGTCTAATAATTCTGTTTATTTCTCAAGTTAAAAAAAAATCACTTGCCAAAGTGAATAGCCTGTTTGTTTACTGCAATGAACTTAATTCTTACCAAATCCTGCAGCTCAGACAAGAGATAAAAGTGAGGAAAAACAGCTGAAAAATGTTATTCATTGCTGCATGTCCAGCCCATATCAAAACGCTTTGTGTTATATCTGCCTATAGTCAAAAATCTCGCATCAGTGACTTCACTCCTGCAGGTTATATCTCTGCCTACAGTTGACAGGTTGTTAAAACGTCCACAGTTTGTCTTTCTTACCCTCTTCAGCCATCGCAGCTGGTGTTGAACAGTGTTTCACGTTGCGTTAACTTTGCATTAAAATGCCGTGAAACTTCAAAGGTCTGACTTCCGTCATCTCTGGTGGCTGCAGCCGTACCAGTCCTCACTGGGCGGGCCTTGGCACGCTCTGCATTTTCCCTTAGTAAGGTCTTGCAGGCAGCCGCTGCCATGGGAACGGATGATACAATATTCTCTCACCTGTGGCTGCTAAATGGACGTAATGCGTGGGCTAGCTTGTACCTTACTATCCTCTGTTCCACAGTGTACTTAAAGTTGTTTTGTTTTGTTTTTATGGAGAGATTTCATCTATCAAAACTACTAGTCTTTAATTATTTCCATTTTCTACTGCTTTATAGGCCTACTTATATTCCACTACTTTTGAATATTGTATTTTTTAACTGCACTACATTTATCTTTTTGCACAAATCTGTTTCAGCTTCCTGTAAAGACTGTTGAAAGAAACTTTCAAAGGCTTGTGGGACACAGGTTAGTTTAGGAGTATGGCAGGACTTGTTCTGCTGTAGTACGCACTTCAAACATTCAACTTCATCTGGTCACTTAAACTAAACATTACATTACATAAACAGAAGAATCGTGTAGCTGGATGAATCATTGTGTTGAAGGACTTTCTGACATTTTACTGAACAAAGGAAGAGTCTGAAATATCCGTCAATTTTTACAGATCAATATTTATAACAGAGAGCCGTACAAATACTTTAAGATGTTAAAACACTTTTAAAGTTATGACAGAGAAAAAAAATCATTCAAACAGTAGATGATGATGGTTATTTGTATTGCAGTCATTGTGTTACAGTACTTGTTGCATCCAGATTCATCCTCTGCTTTCACTGTGACTCTCAGGACACATTTTTCCTTTGTACCTTTCCACTAACCTTTGAGATTAAACATGAGGACACACCATTCAGAGAAAGTGTACATCTGCTGAAATATTTACATCAGGTGTCAGACTTCTAAGACATCTGACCTGCCACAGTGCATTTCAAACACTCCTCAAAGACAACACATCCAAGGTAATAAAACCGCTGTCTGCTAAAGTACCAGCAGACCTGTCGGGCAGCTGGAAAACATTCATACAGACAAACAAAGAGTTCACTCGCCATTCTGGTCGTTTCTTCTATATGAAGCACTTTCACATTTCTTAAAACAGAACTTCTAACTTTTTTTGAATTGCATTAAAATAAAACTCAATAGAGAGTTTTTTGATACTGCCTTGGTGTGCAAATAAAGAGGATGAATCCAAATGGCTTTAGTGACTTTTTTCTGAGTTTCCACTTGTCCAACACAACACATCCAAGTTTATGAAAGACAAGTGCCAAAAGTTACGACATCTTGCACATCCTAAACTCTACTTCTGGATTGGCACCAAATGTTCTTCACCTTGGGAACATTAGCTTAAATGTGTGGCACTGGATGTAAATGGTCTTGATTTGGCTGTCCAGTAACTGTGACTGGTTCATGTGTTGACCACCTGTTAACACATTAACGTTCACTCATGAAAGTCTTGGACCAAGCTGCTCCATGATAACCGGGCAGACAGATGAACAGAGGTGCCGCTGAAAACTCTGAACTCTTACTTTCAAAATGCAAACGATGTGTTACTGTTTAAATACACACAATAAATACACTATATTGCATAAAAGCCTGGAAGAGAACGATACAAAGAATTGATTGAACCTGTTATGAATGAGAACTATTCACTTGATCAGTAAGGCTGCACGTTCTTTCTCTGTTTCTTCATCTCACTTAACACCCCTCCTTTAGCCCAGCTGGGGTTAAAGAACAGCAGCTTGGTGTGATACGTGACTGATATTGCTCACGAGGCCACTGTCACTCAAATCTACAACAGCGCACATTAATATATATATATATATATATATATATATATATAAATACTGTAAATAATTCAGGAGCCCACCAGAAATAACATCACTAGCTGATGCTAAGGCAGCTGGTTGAATGTTGTTAAAGCACCAAGGTGAGAGTACAGCATAAAGTACAGTATAAATAAAACGATTTACAACCGTCCATAATATATTTTTTAAAAAGTTGTTAATTTATGTTACACTGCTGATTCTGAGTGTGAGAGTGTGTACTGGAAAAATAGTTGCTTTTGTGTGTCTGCTATATCTTAGAGGCCGGCACATCTATCAGGCTGTCAGACTGTGTCAACACTTTGGTTTGCAGGAAGTCCGACACAAGTGGCGCCACAGCTTCAGGATTATTCAGATGGACGTGGTGGTCGCCTGGTACTGTCACCACTGTGTTCTGAAAGAAACACAAACAGACAATTACATAATTTCATTTTTTTTTGTGTGAACACAACATTGACATATCCCCTTTTTAGCTGATATGATGAACTTGTTAACACATCAAGCAGTTATGGAGCAACGTTAGGATTCATTTAGTCATGGTTCTGGCCACCTGGTGAATGTAAGTCAACTCCATCTCTATAGCTGCTAAATGCTCCGTTACGTTCACCAGCGAGTGGCTAACTGTCTCTGTTTGGAGCTGAGAAGGTGCTGTTCAATGGGGTTTTAGAGCTTTTTCTCTGAAAACAGCTGCTTGCTGTGGCCAAAAACAACACAGTGAGAGCAGTGAGCGTGATGCAGAACAGTAGAGTTGTGTGCTGACCGGCCAAACAATCACTATAAATCTCTGTAAAACCTAGGGGAGCTGAAAATTGAGGCAATAATTCTCTGCAGGTTCGTCACCATAAGTGACCCCTTTCCACACTGTCACAGTTTTCACATCATTTTGTTATTTGATACATTCTTATTACAGAAACACCGATTATAGCCACTTGAAAAATAATTAGTATTCTGACATGCCAACCTTTCTCTTTCCATCAGCAGCTAACTTGGAAAGAGACATCATCAGAGACGTTTCCTTGATGCTCATCCTCTGTTCTCTTTCTCTCTCTCTCTCATCTGTAGCACTTGACCAAGTATGTACTGTATATCAGTGTTCACAGTGTTCACAGCTATAAAAAAATTCTGCTGCCTCTGAGACACTGAGCTTGCACAGCGCTGCTACTTTTGCATCTCTGCAGCTGACTGTCAGTCTCTCTGTCTACTAGGCACAATTACACACAGGCTTAACAGCTAAAAATAAACACGGCCATGAAAGTGCACCTACTTTACTAGAAAAATCCACTCACATTTCTGTCCCTATAGGCCTGGAGAAGTGCTGATGTAAATTTCTTTTGATCTTGTTCAGCAAATATTTTCTCAAAGCCGCCTTCTGCTCTGTAAAAAAGAAGAACACGATTGTATTTATGTTTAGTTTGGGCACAATGCTGTATTGTAGTCAGTTTGGTACATGTCATATGGAAATGTGCGGTGGAGGAATATCTTACAGAACAACTAGGATGGAGGCTTTTATCCTCGACTGCATCTCCAGACTCTGCTCCAAACTGATGCGCGCTATGTTTTTCTGAAATCACAAAATAAAAAACACACTGTACCTTTATACGGCACCTCTGGGAGAGGTAACAAGGTAAAGTGATGAGCTGGTGCGGTTCAGCAGTAACCTACCAGATTAATACGAAAGTCTCGAGAGAACACAACGCCTGCAAGAGAAAAAAAACGCATTATATCGCCGGCATAAGAGGAAAAACACAGTGAAACTATTCAGAGAACAAACTCATGTTTTTCTAAGAGGAGCACGCACAACAAACATCAAAGCAGGGAAGATAAAGAAGTACCTCCTTCAACTTGAACTAGACCTCGCTCTAAAAGGATGTGCACAGACTGTTCAGACAGAGTCGGGTTTACAGCCGAAAGCCTGAAAGAAATAAAATACTCTTCTCAACAACAGTTGTGCAAACAAAGTTACTGGATGAGTGGGTTTTCAGCAGTCTCTTTAAAAGACCATAAACAGGAAGGTGTGATACCTCTCAGCTGCCTTCTCATAAGAATAAACTCTACTCTTTTTCTCTTCTGTCTTTTTTTCAAACTGAAGCATCTCATCCATCCCCTGCTTTATCACTTTAGGCATTTCTTTCTGCAAGAAAACAGACATAAACGATGAGGGAAGCACTTCAAAACTACCGACAGGAGGGGATTGTACAGCAGAGCACTTTGACAGATTATGGAGAGGAGTAATGCAATAGTATCATATGAATGCTTAGCAATGACCCAAAGGACAAAACTGTGTAACATTTAATTACAAATTAATCAAAAATATTTTATTATTTTATTTCTTAAATGTGATGACAGTCTAGCATTCTGACTGTCCATGAAGCTGTACAGCCTTTTAGTGGAAATCACTCTCAAATTTAAGGCCTCTAGAGAGGCTGTTCTCTCTCAGGGGGTCTTGCTTGAACAGCCAGGGGGAAAAAAACCTCCAATGCATTTTTTTCATCAGCAAACTTAAACAATATGCACTCTGAAGCTGAGCAACTCGTCCATCCATCTCCTCTAGCTCGCACCTACTGCTCCGTGTGTTCAGATGAGAGGTTTAAGTATTGCAGGACAAACAGCAGCTTTGACACAGTCACAGTGAACTTAATGAATAAATAAACAAATAAATAAATCAATCGTCCACCTCTCTTGAAACTGTCTGTCCCCCAGGTGAACTTTTCCTTAAAGTTTGGGAAGAGACATTTTGGTGTCAGGTGTACCATGGGAAAACAGAGTGCTGTTGCTTAAAGCTAAAACATATGTCGACAAGTTGTGCAGTTAATGTTAAAGGTGAAATAAGCAGCTCACTTTTGTGCTTATGACAACCTCTAGGATAGAAGTCTGGGGTCAATTTTAGATGGGAAACATTTTTTTAAAAAGTTGTGTACCAAAAAATAATATTAATAAATTAATAAAGCAATAAATTCGGAAACATGTGGGACGCCTTGTGAAATGATCTAGCAGGCTCATAGTTTGAGACTAAGCAACTGTAGTGACCAGTCTGGGGGATAAAATCTGTTAAAGTACCAGATCTGTGGGTAAAAATCCGTAGGAGTCCAGAAGTACGACAGCATCCACCATCTCAGGATACACAGCGCTGAACTGTGGAAAACACAACATGGACGGAGATACGATGCAGTGACACAAAACAGTCTCTGTATACTACGTGAAAACTGTTTTAAAACTGTCACTTACCAGTCCAGCAACATTCCCACCTGAAATAAAAGAAGAAAGTGGACGTGTAAATATAACATACCTCAAAAATATTAATTGCGCTAATTCTGCCACACAGCTGCACTCACCCATACTGTGGCCTATGATGGAGAATTTGCTCCACTGCAGAGCTGCGGGAGTTAATTTCACAGATCATCAAGCAGGTTCAGTATCTCATCACAGAAAACTAAGACTGTTTTTAAGTGGAAAGACAACATCACTGCCACACGGATGACCCGGGTGATATATCATTATTATTTTTTTCTATATTAATATATATTGCAATGTCAAATCGATGCTCCATCCTCCGGGGATTTATTTGTCACTGTGGACATAGATTTGTTTCCTTAATCATCTCTGTCATCTACTGAAAACACTGATGTGGCTTAAAGTTACAGAAAGGCCAAACATTTGTATTTTTTTTTTTGTCTTAAAAGGTCAAGAGTCAACTTTCAGTCTTAATCAAATGAATATTCAATAAACGATCATTTTTGCTTATAATCATTAATTTGGACCAAAAAAAACATGTGTAAAGAATTTGTCCATGCCACATTACTGTTTAATTTCTCATGAAATAAAAACTAACTTAAATTTTTGATTTGAACGAGCGGCTAAACATGCAGCTTCTTGAACTCACACACCGTCAACGACTCTGCGTACATCCATCACATACGAGGGAAAGGAGTAGAAAATTCCAGGGGGACGATGTGATGAGCGACCATGACCTGCCAGGTCGACCGCCACATACCTGCAGTCTGAGAGGAAGGACAGAGTCTCACTGTGACTATTTTAAACAAAAAAAAACTTGAAACTTTCTGAAGTAAAACTTTAGAAACTGTCTTCATTAATGCACATCACAGAGCCAAAAAAAATTCCCTGCTTAACCAGCTACAATTGTAATGTCATTGACTTATTAAAGGGCAGTGGAAGAAATATCATTATCAAACAACATGCACGCAAGCCAGTGAAGGGTTCAAACTCCCGTCTTTTTGGATGCGGAGCACAGGTTCTAATGAACCAAACACCATCACTGTGCGTGAGCTGGATTTACTTCTAAAAGCACCAAGTTGTGAGCGAGGCATGAAGAATGAAAAAGTACAACTCATAGCCCTTGTTTTTATGAGCATGTTGATGTATACTACGTGTACACATAAATTAAAGCTGAAAGTGAAGAAACATTCAACCATCAGTTTCAGCGGCAGTGAGAAAGAGTTTGACAGCGCAAAACTTAAGGGTATAATGTAAGTAGATGTTAAAACTAGGTGCTGGTGATGGCTTAGCACAACAACATTAATTACCTTTGGGCAGCAGGGGAATGAGGGTGTTGAATGTACCACAGTTGTCAGCCCAGCCATGAACGCACAGCACAGGACGACCATGATCAGGACCCCAGACTTTACCTCTGATCTCTCCCCATGGGACTGGAACACAGAGCTCTGAGACTGGACACAAAACACACACTGATGTAGTAATACTCACAAAAGGCTGGAGCCAGTATTAGTTTTTGTCTTACTAGTAATATTAACAGAAAGGTTTATTCACTCCTAAAGAAAAGAGGTTTCTGGGCACAGTGTTGTTACTGTTTAAATAATTAGATGACTAACATATTAGTTGATTGACAGAAAATGAATCAACAATATTTAAATGTAACATTTTAATCCTTTATCAAAAAATTGCTGTCTTTTCTGTTTTCCACCTTTATGAGCTGAATATCTTTGAGTTTTGGATTGTTGGTCAGACAAAACATGTATTCTGCCAATGTCACCTTGGGCTCTGGAGATCTGATGATAACTTTCTCAAACAACTGAGTAATTGTCGTGTCCCTAAAATGCTTGTTTTGTTCATTCAAACCCCCAAAATATTCAATTTACACTGACATGAGACAGATTAACGCAGCAGATCTTCACATTTGAGAAGCTGGGACCAACAGATGTTTGCTTCAGGAATATCAAGGTTGTTGATTGTTTTGCAGAACACAAGAAACACAAGAAACACAAATGCAGACTCTTGGCTTTTAATCATCCTGACTATTTTGCAAGCAAAGTGCTACATACATTAATTTAGTTTATTTAACAGTAGTGTCAAACTCCTTTTACCTGCCTTTTTAAGTTATTTAAATCCATGTAACAGTTTCTCATTATCTTAATAAACACTATATGAAAAGATACTCTCTGTGTAAACATAAGGTCTTTGTCCACATTTAATTATCTCTGTATTCACTATGTTTCCTGTGTTATTGTTGTGTCCAGTAAAGAGCCTCAATCTTATAAAACTAGGAGCAACATCTCTAGTTCTGACTGACGTGTCAAGACGATTCACTTAACTTCTTTCTCTTCTATTAAACAACTATGAAGCAGTGTTTCCTCACACTTACCTGCTTGTTTCATTGTACTGGATTTCAGGTGTCTGACGCCTTTCAAAGCCTGCATCATCTTGGAGAACAACTCTGCTGAACGGTCAATGTATTTAAAACCTATGAATTATATTGTTTTTAAAGCAATTATGTCAGTATTTTTGGCAGCAAAAAGGAAGAAACTGCGAACTACAACACCTCTCCAGGCTTTAGAAACTAACATTGTTTTCCGGTTGTTTCAAAACCACGTGCCGCAGACTGAAGACGCTATTGGCTAGGCGGTCAGACGGACAGCTGCAGTCAGGACCAATCAACACTCAGAGGAGGAGGGACTAACCTTTCACCTATTGTGATGATAAGAGTTAACCAGCAGAGGGCACAGTGGTCAGTGAAGTGTGCACAAACAAACACTGTAAAATACTGCTCTGCTGAAGTAAAGCAGCAAAACCACACTGTAAAAATACTTCATTAAAAGTAAAAGTACTGCATTTTAACCCTACTTAAGTGAAACTACAAAAATATTTGTGAAATGTTTTTAAAGCATAAAAAATAAAAGTAGTGACTGTGCAGTACAATGTGCCTTGTGATTTTTATATTATTATATATTACATAATGATAACAAAGCATTTTACTGTTGTAGCAGATCCAGGAGGAGCCATGGTTTTAATTGGTTTTGTTTGGATCCAAGAGCAATTACAAACTCACTTATAATCCCTGGCCTCTTTAAACAGCTATTAGTTGTTTTGTAAAATTAATTTTGTTGTTTCTATTTCTCTTTTGTATAGTCATCATGTCATCATGCTTTTAATGTGAAGCACTTTGTAAGCTTTTCTTTGAAAAGTGTTGTATAAATAAAGCTTCACTTACAAACACAAACAAATTAAATCAATGTTCGTACATTAGCTGTACACCATCCGGCTCATTAGCTGTCCCCTTAGATATGCCAGAGCCCATTAATGTCCATTCACAAAGGACTGAGAGAGTCCTCAAAGACGCACATAATAATTAAATAAATCTAAATAAATAAAGAGGGAAAAAAGGATGTGGGGTCGTCAACTGTCTGGTGGAGGAGGATCTTTGTCCAACCATTCAAAAGAGGTAGTTTTAACTAATACTAGCATGTTTTTATTTTTCATACTTGACTTTAATCTTTGCTTTTCTTGTGAAATGTTAGATAATATTACATTAGTGCTAACAACTCATAAACATCAGAAACTTGACGAAGCTCCAATCACACAGATTGTTTTAAGAGGTCACAGGTCAAAAAGGTTGGGAGGCACTGGTTTAATATTTAATACATTGGATCTTATAATATGATCATATGTTTTAAGTTGGGTTTATTTGGGGTTATTTCTGACCATTTCATTTTATATATATATTAAATGTATCAAAATTAATATATAGGCCTGCATATATAAATAAAAGTTACAATTAAAAAGATATCAGTCCTATACACTGTCTCATCAACAATGTCATTTAGTGTAACTGACTGATTTTTCCTAAATAGAAACACATCTGCATGTCATCCGCACAGAAACTGATATTACCAGCATGTAACTTAGTGGCAAATAGAGAACAGCAAGAGGATGACGAGGACTGATCACAGGCACCGGGGATGAGGAAACCTTAAAGTCACCAATGGCAACACAATAGGAACTTATTGTGAACAAAATTACATTAAATTATCAATTGTGAAACAAATGTGTTTGTCCTGGTTTTTATAACAGGAGCCTGATGGGAGGGGATGAGTATGAAGGAGGCATGTGTAGGGTCCTGTGTGATTTTATGTCTGAGTTACTTATGTTATGTACATAGGTGATGATTCAAGAAAATGTTGATTTTTTTATACAAAAAATTACAGCAGGTTTACACAGTGTGTGAGTATAAAATCCAGTTATTTTGTACATTGTTTTCATGCTTTGCTGTAGTGCCTCTTAAACCTCTTTTTTATATGTTTTAAAATAATCCTTGAGATATATTTTATAGACATCACATCATGTTATTTTTATGATAACTATGTGTAATGACAATAATTTATTGTGGGATTTGATTCTTTGACTGTTCTGTACCTATGTTCTGTATACCTTGGATTTTGTCATGTTGACCATTTGTCATCATCACATAATTGTGCAGACGGTTATTATTATTTCATCTGCTTTAATTGTCTTATTGTTTGTTTCTTATGTACACAGCACTCCCTGGCAGGTAGTGCCGATACTGAGTGAATTATTCTAATGAAATAAATGTTGCCTGTTAATCCAAATAAGTTTGTGAACAATAATTCATTGTGCTTTTTCCTGTACTGGTGGTGCTATCCTGCACCTGACCTATATGGGAGTGGATGTCAAAATATCAAAATATTAGGAACACCTCTTTTGATGACCTTAATACAGCACAGTGCAACTTTAGCACAAATGACAGCCTCCAAAATGACCTTTAAGTCTCTTAAACTCCCTGAAACACACACTTAACATATTATAGCCTTCACGAAGATAGGATTTATTGTAGGGCTGTTGTATTAGACTGCATTAGTTTCATCTTAACTTAATGAACTGGTGCCAATTGAGTATATTTTACTGTGTTTAAGTAAAACCAGTAGGCCCCTAAAAACCTAAAACTAAGCTACTCTGATCACACACACACACACACACACACACACACACACATACACACACACACACACACACACACACACACACACACACACACACACACACACACACACGGATGATAATCTCACTTTGCACTTTGTCTGTTTGCATATCTTTCTGGTAAATAGATGCCCCCAAGTGCCACATAATCATATCAGATATGATGTTTGCGTGGAACCAAAAGTTTCCAGATTAAGGTTGGAGGTGTTGTGAACATTTTAAGAGACGTGTGGTGAGAGAAGTAGCCGGATGGGAGGGTTGGAAAAATTTGGTGAGAGGACAGAGGGAGGGAGTATAAAAGGTCAGCTTTTAGGGGGGGGAGAGTCAGGCCAAGAAGAATTTGGTATAATCACACAGGATATTTTACTGCTTTGCAGGTAGGTACTGTCTGATTTTTTATAGTTTCATTACAGAATATTAAAATAATCCCCATTCATTGATAAAATGTGTTGATTTAGGGAATACTGACAGAGAATAAAGCTGATTTTGTGGAAATTACAATAACAGGTTGATTAAAGCAGAATTTGGTCATAATTTGGTAGTTCAGAATAATAAGACATGCTATTTTGGTTATTTGTCACATATTCAGGATGCAGAGAAATTCCCTGGTGAAGAATATATTTAATATTTATAATATATAATATTTATTTAATGTATAAAATTAAAACAACACCACTTCCAAAACATCAAAATAGTCACTGAATTAAAACAAACCATCCACTGCTGTTAAAAACCATTATACTAGCAGAAATAAAAAAACCCGGATAGTTGTGCTCACAGAGTGAAATGTCAGTTTTAAATGGAAAAAAGGATGTTGTTTACATGCTCTTTATTACCCTGCGACAGTTTAAGAACATCAACAAAACAGCGCATCTGATTTCACTTCATATAAATTATGCAGGGCTGCACTGAGGCCATGTTACAGATTCGGTGAGGGCAAATGAGGTAATGTATCTGCCTCTTTCTAGTAATGCGTTGCGTTTGAAAGCAGTGTTTTTTGGCTGCTGGTATATCATATCAAACAGGAGACATGCAATGCCGGAACACGAGGATAACACTGTTTGTGTAACTCACATGAGCTTCAAGTGATCAGGAGACTCTGATTGTTCTTTTATTTCAGTCTGTTTTTCTTTCAGAATCTGTTTTTTTTTTGATTCCTCAAATCAGTGTTTTGCAATATTTTTTATGACCCCTTTCTTCATGTCCTCAGATCATGGCTGACTTTGACATGGTTTTGAAGCACTGGGGTCCAGTGGAGGCAGACTACTCCGCCCATGGGAACCTGGTTCTGACCCGGTGAGTGGCTCTGAAAAGATAAGATTACTCGGTCAGGGAGGGTCAGGTTCACAGAGCCGTATTCAAGATTTTCAAAATACTGCAACACCCCCCCCCACCCCCCACTCCACCCCACCCCCAACCAATGACCTTAGTGTCCTCAGTGTTAGCTACGGCCTTGATGGTGTATGATCACCAAATGGAGAATCCCCTCATTTGTTTTTCTTCACAGTTTATTCACAGAGCACCCAGACACCCAGAAGCTGTTCCCCAAGTTTGCTGGCATTACCAAGGGTGAAATGGCTGGCAACACAGCTATTTCTGCCCATGGTGCTACTGTGCTAAAGAAACTTGGGGAGCTGCTGAAGGCCAAAGGCAACCATGCTACCATCCTCAAACCTCTGGCCAACACCCACGCCACCAAGCACAAGATCGCCATTAATAACTTCAAGGTGAGATTGTTGTACATGAGGGAATGTTTTAATATGTCGCCCATCTTTGTTTGATCCTTCCCCATATATATATTTTGTTTAACTAGAAGTTGCATCTGTTGTATCCTCCAACCTGATTTTAAAGCAGTTTGTGAAATTATTCTCTATCCTTTGCTCCACAGCTGATTACCGAGGTCATTATTAAAGTCATGGAGGAGAAGGCAGGACTGGATCCAGCCGGGCAGCAGGCCATGAGGAACGTAATGGCCGTTGTCATTGCTGACATTGAGGCCAACTACAAAGAGCTGGGCTTCAGTGGGTGAAGATTAATGTCACACAAGTCATGCTGGGCTCAGATGACAGACAAGAAGTTCCACACATGCAAGTGCTTTTTTGAAAATAAAAAGGTGTAATCCTCTATTTGAATCATCGTTTAAGAAATCTAACAAAGCATCAGCATAACTTACAGCCCCATATGTTATCATAGAGATGAAGATCTTAAAGAACATAGGAAGCTTCATAAATGTATCTTTTATTGCAGGGTTAATGTACTAGTTTGTCATAGATTATATAGGTTTCCTGCTGTGTAACATGGTTTGGAAGTAAATGTCAACATACTGTAAACCCTTATCATATATTACCAATAAAACTCTCTGTTGCTTGACTCTACTCATTACTTCTTTTCATTCCAAGTTTTATGAATTTCCATTTCTATTCCTATCCCATTACTCACCCCCTGTGCGCTCTATGCTAAGGGGCTGGAGTTATAAATCAGTGAAACTAACTGCTGGTCACGCTTTAAAAATAATAAAGTATGAGAGGAAGGACGTCTTTGATAAGAT